AGCAACACTTTAGAGTGGACTTAGGTGATGTGCACCATAAACAAATTTCAGAACATATCAACTTTTGAAATACAGTAACTTATAAACAAATTAAAGAAACTTAGCATTAAGTCAGAGACATGCAGAAATCTCTGAATGCGTTCTCCGTTTTACTTGTTTTTAACTCTAACATCCATGTACTTGTGGCCCAACACCCACACCCATTTTCCAGAATGCTTTCCTAATTGTTTATATCTACATAGTGAGTTTAGTTACATTTTATTAAGGCACTTGGAGGTATTTATATATTATGATTTTCTGTGACGTACAAAGCAGAAAAGGCATTTATGAGTTACAGTTTTAATCTTTTTTGTGTTTTTTTTAGCCCAATACATTTTTCAGTGATTAATCCAATACATTGGGGTGGATTTACTAACAGCAAATAAGACTGCACACTTTGCCAGTGCAGTTGCATTCATTTTCCCCCAGAGCTTAGTGAATGTGGTGAAGCTTCACATTGTAAAAAATACCCAATCTGCTGGAAGGAAAATAAAAAAAAAAATAATAATTTGGCTTGCATGTAATTAGATGATGGAAATCAGCAGAGCTTTACCATATTTACTAAGCTCTAGGGAAATTGAGTGCAACTGCACTAGCAAATGCATAATATATTTGTCTTTGGTAAACAACCCCCTTGTGTCTTCTTACTCAACCTAATGGAGAATACTTAAACATATGGGTATGTGTTCATTGCTGTCTAATGACTGGCTTCTGTCAAACGGTCCTTCTGGAAATGGAAAACCAGCATTTAATCAGCACTTGTAGCCAATGGCTGCAGAGCTGATCAATGTATTCTGATGAAATGCGGGGGGGGGGGGGTCCCTGCTGTGAGAATACAAAGACACAGGGGGAGAAATCCCTGCATCAATATTGCTTGTCTTGATGTGGAGATATGTGAGTTTTTTCGTTCAAAAAACAAAACTCAATATGTATACTCAGCTTTAACAATGGCAAGCATAAGCAGAAAATGTCCTTGAGCTTAGGGCCCCCTTCAGATGGGGTGGACTCCATCAAGTGGATCTCTCTGCTGAGCAAGTGGATGACAGGTCCGTGTCGCCTTCGCTATGCAGAGTGGACACAGACACAACCTGCTGTTTTCTAGGCAGCGGTCCGTTTCCATCCGACTGTCGCCATATGGATGGGGAATGGATCCTCATCCATCTGTTTGTAGTAGACAGAATTGGATCAAATGCCAGCAGCTGTCAGCGGACATGTCCACTGACACCCGCCACTCCATAGAGAGCTATGGATGGTCCTATCGGGTCCGCCTGAAAAACTGACAGGTGGACCCGATCAGACCGTCAGTGTGAAAGGGGTCTAGGAGAATCCCAAAAAGCACAGATAACATAAACAAAGCTTAGACTGGTTACAGACTAGCTGCAAACACTAAGACTACATTCTCACATATTGCGCGGTTTTTAGATTGGCTAGTCCTTTGGTCAAGAGTTTGAAGGGCTGAGGACTGACGCCGCGATCGTCGCAGCTTGCTGAGCCGTCAACACCTAGCCTTGGTCAGAATAAAAACAAAAAATTAGATATCTAATTAGTTACAAAGTTCGGTCCGTAGAGATTGCGTGACAGGGGAGGCTTTAGCTTCGCCCAGCCTTGGCTGATTAGTTTCATTTTCAGCTACTTTGACTTTTAGCCTTAATGTGAATTTTATTTTAATTCTTAATATTGGTAATGACAAGCAATAAGGTAAGGAATGTACTTGGAGTCCTGACTTTTTTCTTACAAAAAGAACTGTAATTTGTATCAGATCTGTTCCTGCTGTTTCTTAATACTGAATCCTGGAAGGTATAATGTACATGCATTTTAGGACATCAGCCCCTGTGTTTCTGCTGCTGAGCAATATGCCACCAAAGCTTTTTTTGTTTTTCATTGCTCCATGGCCCCAGTACTGGGTACGGTGGGCAACCTCTTCATTTAAGCTGGTCATACACATTAAAATTTCTTTTGTTCAGCCCTATGGACTGGACAAGAGAAATCACTCAGTTTCCCCATCCATTCTACAAAGCACAGATGAATGATTCTGCATAGCCTTTTGCACCGATACCCTTTTTAGATCGGCGAGTACGAGTACTTTTTTCAAGTACTTGCCGATACCTGAAACTGATACTTTGCTCTGCGATTTGTGTCAGTACAAAATTTATTCCTGTCCAAATTGCATGCAGTTTCCCCACTGTTCCTGTGCTTTCCCAGGCTTGTCATAGCCTGAGTTCACACAGGAGTGGTGCAGGAATCCTCCTTACACCGATCCCATGCTGTCACAAAAGGAAAAGCCAATTCATAAGTGTGGGGATTTGAAATCCCTGCGGCTTTCTCTCCTTTCCATCCAGGGATGACAGTACGACCTAGACTGGTTTTGATTGGTCAGCACTGTCACAGTGCTGATCAATCAGAAGCCGTCAAGCCTGTACTGTCATCCCTGCAAGGAGAGGAGAGAAAGCTGCTTCACAGGTGTGAGAATTTGAAATCCCTGTGGCTTTCTCTCCTCTCCTTGCAGGGATGATGGTACAGGCTAGACGGCTTCTAATTGGTCAGTACCATGATGGTTCTGACCTATCAAAAGCCGTCTAGCCCGTACTTTCATCCCTGCATAAATGATAAACGACAATACATTACATTTTTGGTTTTGGTTTAATACCACTTTAAAAATAATAAAAAAATTACATTTACAGTATATTAGCAAGTTACAGCTTATATAAGATTTTAATGACTGGATTTACATATACTTTAACATCTTACTGACTAGAACCTTTCTGACAAGGTCTCTAAGGCTTTTTTAAGCCACATTCATGCAAATGTTTAGGCATATTGAGGAGGAATACATGGAAATTAATAATTAGGGTGTTATAGTGTGGTTGCTTGTTGCCTGAACATAGTTAAGTCAAGTATGATTTTTACTCCTGGAACATGAAATTCTATAGTGAGAGAGAGTAAAAGCATTCCACTTAAAATAGGTGTTAATTACCAGGGTGGTCACACTTCATAGGGGTGTCAGATATATCTGTTAGGAATGCAAAAATGCAGTCCCCAAACATGATTCACCTTTTAGAGAGAACTGAGACTTCATTTTGTGATGTGCAAAGGACAGCTGGCATCAGAATCAATATATGGTATGCTTGTTAGGCACTAGGGATAAAGTTACACCAAGTAGGAAAGCAATAGAAAATGGGGCTAACGTGCATGAAAAGCTGACAAAAGGGCTGTTCTGGAGTGCGGTGTGTGTAAGCTTAAAGGGCTGTTGTACACCAAATAAGATAGTCGATGAGGGTCTTTGTGTATGCAGCCTTAGCTAAATCATGTTAGTCTTCTCATTGCTTATAAGCTCTTCTTCTTACTTTCCATTTATTGACCCAGGGGCGATATGAGCTCCTAAAGCTGCACCAATTCACAACTTTGTAATTTTATTGGCAAACCAGAACTAATGCCCCTCTGTGTCTGTTTATTAAAATGGCCTTTTGTAAAACACATTCATTATTTCTAATCTTTAAAACTGTTGGACTTATCTATTATTTTCAGTGCAATATTATTCAGTAAAACATTCTGAGCATGTTTCATAGTTAAAAGCTTAAGGATACTCACTGAATTCTCTGTTACTGTATTGTGATTCAGCTGCATTGCTCTGGTGTTCTTTTTCACTCCTCTTTCTTGTTCTTTTCTTGAAGCATTAATGAAAATTCAGAACAATTTTTACCTGTCTGAGACTGTATCTATCTGTCTGCTTACAGCTTGGTTGGAGGCTGTGCTTAATTCCCACTGCAACATTTTTAAATGGACAACTACAAATAATGTAATTCCGTTTTACTTCTGTGTCAGATGTGAGAGATTTGGGAAAACTAAGAGAGTGCAGATTCCAAGTGGATGGCTCAGTCAGACAGGGAACAGAGCAGATGTTCTGGGGATGTAAAAATGAAGAAAGTTTAAAAAGACAAAACTAGCAAACTACATTTTTATGAAAGATTATATATTGAGTCTTTAAATTGTTGTGATAGTTTTGAGAAATTTTTCAGTATGGCAACCAGTAACAGATTACATATGAGGACTGATTATCAATTATATTATCCACTAGAACACTTGACGATAGATTACGTAGAGTAACATTTGTCAGAGTAATTGTCAGTACGACCGTTTTTATACATTGCTATTAATTGATTTGATAGTCACTGGGAGATTCTATATGGGATAATGGAGGTGGAAGGTGGAGCAAAGCACTGTTCAGGCAGTGTTATAGTGTTATGAGACAGTGCACAAGCTATAACCTTGCAATAACTTTTGTCAATTGAATATTATCATCAAAATACTAAAACTATTTGATAAAATAGCTTTTTAGAGTTCACACCTCATGGGACCATGTAGGTAGAAGGTGGAGCAGAGCTCAGTGCTGGCAGTGTTGCTCCTTCCACCTCTATTTTATTTTAATACTAAAAACTATTTGATTAAAGAGCTTTTTTGAGTTGCACCTAGTTTCTGGATTAATTTACCCTCGTAAATATTAGAGATATCAAGAATTATTGAAAAGTTATGTGATCATATATATCACCTTGAATCTTGTAGATAAATCCTCATAACCTCATTTAGACAGAGAGAGACAAGCACAATTTAATAGATACAGACTGAGGCATGTAGAAATATACCACCAAACCCAGACACGTCCATCAGATTTCCAGACAGAGAAGAGTGATTCGTCACTCCAGAGAACAAGTCTCCGCTGCTTTAGAGTCCAGTGGCAGCATGCTTTACACCACTGCATCCGATGTTTTGCATTGCACTTGGTGATGTAAGGCTTGGATGCAGCTGCTCGTTCATGAAAACCCATTCCATGAAACTCTCTATGCACTGTTGTTGTGCTAATCTGAAGGCCACATGAACTTTGTTTTTTAGCTACTGACTCTGCAGACATCGACTTCTGTGCACTGTGCACTTCAGCATGCGCTGACCCTGCTCTGTCATTTTATGTGGCCTACCACTTCGTGGCTGAGTTGCTGTTGTTCCCAGTCGCTCCCACTTTGTTATAATACTACTAACAGTTGACCGTGGAAATTTAGTAGCAATGAAATTTCACAGATGGACTTATTGCACAGGTGGCAACCTATCACGGTACTATGCTTTAATTCACTGAACTTCTGAGAGTAAACCATTCTTTCACAAATGTTTGTAGAAGCAGTCTGCATGCCTAGGTGGTTGATTTTATACACGTATGGCCATGGAGGTGATTGGAACACCTGAATCCAATGATTTGGAGGGGTGTCCTAATACTTTTGGCAATATAGTGTATTTTTTATATTATATATATATATATATATACTGATCAGAAAAGAAAAATTATTCACTAAAATTCTGGCTGCAGCCTGGAGTGTGCAACAAGGCAGAACGATATCTGGTTATTTTACAGTGAAGCCAATGGAAAGCCTCTCACCTTGAGCAGGCAAATACTGGTGTCTTGGTAGTGGTTTCTGGTTATTGTATGATTTACCAACTGAGTGTTGGCAAGTGTTCAAAAGCTACTAAAGCCTGCAGTATTTGTAACGAAAATCTTTCAACATATAGAGCATACAGTCTATTCACAGAATTTAGAACTTGTAACTTAAAATTTAAGGGATAGAATCTGGACAAAAGATATACTTGGATCGTGCTTGGATCATGTTTGATGATCTTTGGGAAAAAATACCTCTAGGATTTTTTGCTCATGACAGATACATGAACAAGAAATATGATTACAAAAAAAACATAGTTCTCATGTGGAGTAACAAACAAACTAATCTGCCTCCACACAAAAATGTTTGCAATATCCTTGAGTATGAACACATAAGTAGGTATATCAGGTTAAGTGAGTAACATTGATTATTGCGTTCTAATGACATCTGAAAGTCAGTGTGATATATTAGGCAGCAAATAAGCATTTTGTCCCTGAAGTTGAAGTCTTGAAAGCAGAATAGGTGATCACAGTTTGTTGTATATGGGGCTGCGTAGCCGCAAACCAGTCAGAGTCCCCATGTCCACAGCCAAAAGCACCTACAATGTGCATGTCTTCATTAAAAGTGGACCACAAAGCAATGGAAAAGGTGGCCTGGTGTGATGAATTGTGTTTTCTTTAACATCGCGTGGATGGCCGGGTACATGTGTGTCCCTTACCTGGGATAAAAATGACACCAGGATATTGTATGGGAATAAGGCAAGCTGGAAGAGGCAGTTTGATGCTTTGGACAATGTTCTGCTGGGAAACCTTGGGTTCTGCCACTCATATGGACATTACTTTGAAATGTACCACCTACTTAAACATGGTTCCTGACTAAGTACACCCCTTCATGGAAACTGTATTCCCTGATGGCATTAGCCTCTTTCAGTAGGATAATTCACCCTGACACTGAAAAAATGGTTCATGAATGGTGTGAGGAACACTACAACAAGTCTGAGTTGTTGGCCAGTTCTCCAGATCTAAATGCCATCTGTGGGATTTGCTGGAAAAGCAAGTTTGAACCATGGAGGCCTCACCTCAAAGCCTTCAGGATTTACATGATCTGCTACTGATTACTTGGTACAACGCAGTGCCCACAGAAAATGTATTATATATTATATATTATAATATATATATTTTTGTTTACACAAATAAAGCTTTCTTTTTGTGGTATTTGATCATCACTGGCTTTGCAGAGAGAAGAAACAAAACAAATCATTCAGATAGGGCTCTGTGAATCATTGGCCAGGACCTGCTGACAAAATCCCCCTATGTCTAATCACAGTGAGAGTCGGCAGGTGGGGGTGCACGTGAGCCCTGTACCTAGAAGCGGCCAGTGACGTACAGGTATGTCATTGTGCCTGTTTGGGCCACCTGTTCACAGTACATTTTGTGGGCGGACTGTCCTTAAGTGGTTAAGTGACTGGTCGTAAAGTTATGGCTGACTGGTAAGCTCATTGAGGGACAAGGAGTGATGTTAATGGTTCTATGTGCTCTTTAAAAACCTTGGATTTTTTTCAGAAATATACTAATGGGTAACATTAATAAATATAACAGTCTATGCATAAAAATGTTGCCAGCTTACTGAAGACAAACATTAGCAAGTAACAAGTAAATATGTTGTTAAAAATATCCTTTAATTTTGTACTAGGGGAAAATATGTGATTTTAGTTCATTTATTTCAGATCTGCCATAGTCTAATGCTGCTCGTTAATGTTTAAGGATTTCACCTTCACTGCTTGGTCAGATTGGCTGTATGCCTGCGTGGGTGAATTAAGTTCCCAGAGGAAGAGCTCATTAAGCAGTGTCAGTCCCCTCTATAGCTCAGAAACGAGCAGTGACGTTGCTCTGCTGACAAATGCATGCACGTTCGGGCAGCTGAGTGCCTGTAGTATGAATAGAAGACCTTCTGAAGATAATTCATTATCCTTGGTAGGAATGCTGGAGATATACTTTAAGTGAATATGTATAATAAATTAATCAAATCAGAGTTCACTTTCTAGCCTTCAGGATACAAGGGGTATAATACAAACCTACTTATACTTAATAAAGAGTATAGATAAAGCTTAGTTTTCTACAATTTCTTCCTGTATCTCAAACGTGTTAATTGTTTAATTTTTGGATTAAATACTCCCTTCTTTCCCCTTTTCCTAAAGCATTTGTAAAATGTTAACTTTTTTTCTTTTAAAATAACAAACATGTTATACTTACTTGCTCTGTGCAATGGTGTAGGACAGAATGGCCCAGTCCTCCTCTTCTCCAGTTTCGCGATGGCACTCCTGGCTCCTCTTCTTCTTGGTATGGCACCATAGGAAGCAACTTCCTGTATTGGCACACTTGCAGGCTCAATCCAGAGCTGTGCTACCTGTGTCTGTAGACACTAATGTGAGGCTCGATCATGCCCCCTTCTTCCTTCATCACAGGTTTTAATGACAGAAGAGAAGAGGAGAGAGTCAGGCACAGCACTGTATCAAGATTAGGCTCAGGTAAGCATAAGGGGGATGAGGGGGCGATACACATGGTGAAACATTTTGTACCTTAATGCAGGGAAGGTATTAGGTACAAAATGCAGCCACTTTAACTTGGCTTAGATTTGTGTAAAAAAAAAAGAAAAAATAATAGCATTAACGATAAAAGTCTAAAGTATAATAACTTTTTCATATTCACAATGCATATAGCATCACTCTTTGAAATAACTGAAGTCAGATGGTCAGATGTTCTCGGGAATACATACCTTGGGGTATTCAGTGAAATTATCTAGTGTTTACTTTTTGTATGTACCTTGAAACCATAGTGGTATTAGGCAGACGGATTAGACCTCATTTGGGGGGTGCTTACTCCCTGTGTCTTTATGTCATGGTATGTTAACCCTAACCTTGTGCCTGTTTGTCGTAATACAAGGAAAAACTCAATAAAACTTTATAGGCTTAAAAAGTCTATAGTAATTGTAAAACACATAGATATTACAAAAAATAAGAATTAATGGTGAACAGATATAATGATTTATTTTCTGAGGTCACAAATGTTAGTGAGATAAATAGATCCCTTCTATGACACATGTTTAAATAGCTGCAAGGAAAAAGGTTAAGGAGGGGTGTAATTGAAACCTAGGCAATAACAAACATCTTATACTTACCTGCTCTGTGCAATGGTTTTGCACAGAGCAGCCCTGATCCTCCTCTTCTGGGGTCCCCTGCTGGCACTGCTGGCTCCTTCTCCCTGTTGCATGCCCCCATAGCAAGCTACTTGCTCTGGGGACACTCATGCATGCCTGCTCTCAAGAAAGTTCTATGGGTCCATTGACACACAGAGCGTGGGTTGGCTCCAACCCCCACTCTCTCCTTACTGGCTGTGATTGACAGCAATGTGAGCTAATGACTTCCACTGCTGTCTCTCTGTTCAGTGAGGAGAGAGAGCCGAGGGAGACGCTGCTCTTGGGCACATCGCTGTATTGAGATTGGGCTCAGGTAAGTATTTGGGGGGCTGACAGGGTAGCTGCATGCAGAAGGTTTTTTTTTACCTTAATGCATAGGATGTACTACTGTAAAAACCTTGGACCTTTTAGAACCACTTTTAATTCACTAGTGGAGTGCATAAGGCTCAGGAGGGCAATATTTTTAAAATTAAGCTAGGATCAAGAACTCTGGGACACCACCTCAAACCGGTTGACGTAAAGTTAAAAACAAATCTTTTATTTCACTGAAAGAGTAGTGGATGCTTAAAATTTTTTTCCAGCAGAGTAGAGAGTCAATCAACAATAAATGAATTGAAACATGCTTGGAACAAACATAAGTCTTTACTCAAACAAAAATGTTCCTCGCTGTTAAAGCCATAGGGAAGCAACACATACAATGCAGTTGAGTGCTCTCCCTGCATATTCTAGTGATCCCTTTGCTGCCAAGTTCTCATCAAACACATGATCGCAAATCTGACATCGGCTAAACAGAAAACAATAAGTATATTTTGCCGCTGATGGCAGGTCAAGCAGCTACTATGGCAATAATCTTCTCTGGCTGTGAACTATGCAGCATAAAGCCCTCTGATTAAGAAAACAGAGCATAGCCTATTAATATGTGAGATAATGAGGAAAGCAAGGCTGTCTTCACATGCTGCAGAGCAAAATTAAAAATTGTGTTTTGTCAGGGAATTTGCACCTTAGTGCAGCTCCCCTCCCCGCAACAATACATGCTTTGTGACAGATGTACTTCAAAATACAAAACCTGGTCATTCTGGTGTGCCCCCTTCCAGCATATGAGGGATGGGAAATGCCACCAAGCAGAACAAACTTTTTCATTCATTACAACAGTACCAACCCACTATAATTTGCTTCCAAGAAACACGTTACGCAAAGTGCATTGAGGTATCTACAAAGGTCACATTATACTCAGGGCATACATTCTTGTTATGCTTCATATTTATGTGGCGTTAATATACTTATAACACAGGCTGGTACAGTTCACTTGTATACAAAAAAGAGGTGGACTCTAAAGGTTGATATGTTTTGAAATATGACTGTTTTGCGTTAAGTGTATGATTGGGAATATTTATGTTCCTCCTCCATTATCTAACGAAGCAATAAACTTACTTTTCAAATGTATTTCAAATAAGCAATATGAATTTTTATTGTAGTAGGAGACTTTAAAAATGTCATAATGCCTGAAATATATAGACATCCCTCTCCTATGGTGCAGTCTCCTAGCTGTCTTTCTTCTTTTG